ATTCAAATATATAAATTTATTCAATATGACATTTATTGTCATGCAGTTGCAATGATAAAAATCTCGGTAAGGTTTTTACTATCCTGCATAATTGAAAAACAGATACATGTAGTTATTTCTGAATATATGCATATTCATAAATAAAGATTTCTATAAATAGTAGAAGAATTGTTAATAAAACTCATTGCATGGTTTTAAATTTAGGGAATCATTTTATTAAAAATAAATATAAATAGAAATAGTATGACAAATGCAAATATGTTAATTAGGTATAATATGTGTTATATATATATATATATATATATATATATATATATATATATATATATATATATATTACACATAAATTTATTTTTCTTATAATAATATACCCGCTGGAATGCCATTTATCTTGTTCTTTACGTACGTTTTACATAATAACACTTTTATAGAACAGTACCATCTGCTTAACACAATAGCAACATCAAGTGAGTATATTTTCCAACATTTTCTGCGGTTTACATACACAGTCATAACATTACATTATTTCTTGCTTCAATCTGTTGCAAGAGTCGAAGACTTAAGTTGTATTAAAAACGTAGAAACTAATAATTCGTTTAACAAGAATTTCGATATAATTGAAACATTGAGTTGAAGTGAAAACCAACTTTTTCTATATTTTTTCACTGTAATTTGCATTAAAAATCAGTTAATTTTAGAATTTTAATAGTTGCTCAATTGTTTCTTTCACATATTTATATATATATATATATATATATATATATATATTTATAAATATATATAATTTTTCTCTTAAACGCTTAAATTAATTGAGAATTTTAAATAAGAAAAAAAATATGTATTCAAACCATTTCTTATAAATACATCTTTTTACATTTCATAAACATAAACAAAAAATTTTATTAAATTATTTTCGCACACCTAAATAATTAAATTTTTCTGAAGATGATGTCTATTGGATAAAATAAAATTAGCAATTTTATTAAGTCAAAAAATAAAAATGAAATTAATACAAATGTTGAATTAAAATATTAATATTTTATTAGGATTCATTAATTATCTACGAAAATCCTTCTATAAATCAATTATATTAACTTTATTAACCTCGAATGATCACCATATAATTCTCTTTTACTATTTTATGAGATAATTCATAATTTTTAAAATAATTTAGAAGGTATATTATATGAATTTTATAATTACTTACATACATTTCTTTAATTAATGGATTATAAATAAGTGATAATTGAATACATTTTTTTTTTAAGATCCTTGTTTTAGATATAATTTTTAGTTAAGCATAATTTGAAAAGTCAAGAGCAAAATGTACGCTCTAAGTTCTCCCATTTATATTAAATCATACGTAAATCACAATGCAAAAATTAGAAATTCCAAACGCCGAAAATACAATTGAATAACTTCCAACGAAATCAATGGGATAATATTAGTTTCTACGTCTTTAAACGTAACTCTTCGATTATTGCGAGGCCCATTGAATACAAAACAAAATTCGGCAACTATCCTCTTTATCAACCTCGTTCTAACACGAGGAGGCAGAGAGACGTGGCTCGTTCCCGTTATTGCTCTGTAACAGCAGGACACAAGTGTTTTTTCGTTCGTCTTTTTCGTTTTTAATTTTTGTCAAACATCGTACACACTGTAAATGCAAAATAAATATAAAGGTAGGTTTCGCACATTAGAGAAAAGTTTCATCAAAATTTTAAAAGCTAACATAAAAAGATGAACGGAAAAGAAAATGCATCTGTTACAGCTAAACTTACAATAACTTACATGTATCGCAACAAATCCCAATATCTTAATTTACACGAATGATATACAAATTCGTAAATTTTCGACGATAATGCACGTAACTTTTAATATAATATTATAATAATCTGATTTTATCGTTAACGTGATTAAGTTTAATCGTTCTCAAGTAATTTTTTTTATTTTTTACTTTTTATACAGTGTTTTACATTAAATATTTAGCTTTTACAATGCTCCCTGTTAGTGAATTTATTCTAATTTAAACAGCAAAAGATCATCCGTTCGAAAAAAATTTCTTGAGATAACGAAAAGTTTAACAAACTAGAATTATTTAAATTATTATTATTATAATTATTATTATTATTATTATTATTATTATTTAATATTAATCATAATTACTAAATGTAAATATTTGTTGTGGTATATAATAAAAGCCAATCATTAGTAAATAATATATAGCTTTTTTTTTTTAAATCTTAACGTCAAAATAGAAATTTTATAATCAACATGATTATAATATTGATAATTTAAAAATTTAAGACCGAAGTTCCTAATGGAATCAAAGTATTTGCACAGTAAATATTATTTTCATATAAATCTAAATGCAAATGATTCGTATAATGTATTACGTAATAGCAATGGAAATTTTATGTCATCAACTGCATCGAATAGAATCTATAACTTATAAATTTAAATAAACATTTATATATATATCAACATCTTTATTGACTGCAAATCTTGTTTTTTTTTTTAAAATTTTTCTTTCTGCGGTACGATTAATCATTCTAATTTAAAAATTCATAAGCTATTTAAATCTACAATTTATACTTAACTATAAAATAGATATACGATGAAGACGAATGATCCAACACACTTTACTAATATTAATATTAATGATTGATTTTAAATTTTATTTTATGCTTTCAGTATTTTTTCACGGGCTTTTTCTTCTATTAACTGCTGACGTAACAAATGATGCAGATGATAACAAATTCATTTTATTAATTCGTATAACGGATAAGGCCATTGAAAGATCACAATGGGGCGCTTATATAATTGCTGAAAATGATTTAAAATCCCGATAATGGCATCGCTACATTACATGAAAGAATTAACGAGTGCTCATACTAAGGCACAGGATTAAAAATTGTAAATTTATTAATTGATCGGGACCTTTGTTGTTCAAGGCTCGTATTTTATTAAATTTGTATTTTGATAACTGTAGAATAAATTCAACAAAGACACTACACAATCCATGTAGCTCGAAAAGCTCGTGTATCTCAAAATTTCATTACAAATAGGATTTTATGAGATAGTCATCTTTTTAACAAACAATATATTTTAGTACTTTTTTGAAGATAGATAATCTTTAATGAAAAGAAAAACAATGATATAAATATTTCATACTAATATAGAACACATAGCGGATTGATGTTTTTACTTTTTTAAAGATGACAATGTTATTCAATTAAATATCTGTACATTGGTATACTTAGATTGAGCTTAGACATTATTAAGTACTCACTGACAACGCCACTCTTTAGTTCAATAAAACAGTCTTCTCACGGAATTACACACGATTCTAATGATCTTATCCTTTTTCTTTTTTTTTGTAAATCTATCTTGTTCTATAAAAATGAATTTATTTATTTACGTTGAGCATTTATTTATGAAACTATTAGCGTTACATGTTACCCTACGACGCCTGTTTGAATCGTCTATGCAATTAGCTGGCAGTACTGTTTCCAATTATGTATATTTCCTTTGTTATTTAGAAAAGAATATATTTTTGTTATATTAATTTCTGCTAAGATAAAGAAAAAAATTCATACTGTGCGAGGTTTAATGAGCACTAACAAAAGTGTAAAATATATAGTTCTAGTCATAACATATAGGTTACATTGTTAAAATCAATACTTTTTAAGCATACGAACATAATTAGATGATTTTACAAGTCTCGGGTAGCACTACTTAAGTTGCATAATATCGATTTCCTATTTTAACTTTGCACAATCCACACATTATAGCAACATCATTATCACGTAAAAGACGCATTCGTAAATTTCGTGCATAATTTTCTTCGGCACAATGATCTCTCTTTTTATTATCACAGTTGTTTAAAAACCGAAACGTATTGTAATCAGAAAGAAAAATTTACATATCAAAGTAGTCCCTCTCCTTTATAATTAGCCGCACATTAGATATTTTGTTTATTTTGTTCCTTAGAACGTATCTTATTCAGGAATGTTATTTATGCTGAAAACCAAATTTCTATCAGACATCATCATAAATTAATTTTAAAGTAATTAAAAATATTTACGAACTGACGAACATAGTAACTTGGTGCAAGGTGAAATGTCGAACTGAATTTTTTCAGTTGAAAAGATTTTATACATATAAATTTATACAAAAGAAAAAAAAGAAAAAAAAAAGAAAAAAAAAAGAAAAAAAAAGATAAAAAAATATAAGGGAAAAAAAGTAGAAAAAAAACCCCAATAATATCGCCGTTTTATATTAAATCTAAATAATTTTCGAATAACCATTATTTCGTTACGTATTTTATACAACGTATTTTTAAATAATAACTATTCATTAATTTGAACTTTATCATTTTTATAAATAAGAATACTGAAAAAGAATAATTCTACATAAGCACATAAGAGTTTTCAATGAAAAGTAAATCACATTTTTTACAACGTTCGTAAATTATTATTATCGAAATACCAAAATTATTAAAACATACAAACGCTCTATTAATATTGTCTAATTTTTTTTTTTTTTATACAGGTGTTGTTCTACTTCTAAATAAAGTAATACGGCAGTTTCTCGCAATTAATTTTCCATCTAATACTTCAGAATTGAAAATATGAAGTAAATATTGCAAACTGAAACAACCGCGCTCAAAGGGCCACGATTTTAAAAATTTAAAAATAGCCGAGCACGGTATTTACCAATAAATATAAATGCTTAAATCACATTTAACTTAATGCTTCTTTCACGAAAATTATCCTTCCTTTTTTTTCCTTTAAAAATAATCCATAGCTTCGGTCAATAATCTGCCGACAGGAAAAAATATTACTTGGTGCAATCGCTGGAGCGTTTCTTCTTCGTACAACAGACGCTACGCCGCTTCCCAAGACTCTCCCCCAATACCCCCCCCTCCTCCCACACACACGCACACGCGCGCACACACACACACACACACACACACACACACTTCTGCCATTATCTACTCAAGAGCTTGTAAAGCCCTTTGCACAATCTCATACGCTCCCTCTATAAGATACCTTAAATTGACTCCCCATGGCATTGTTGCGCACCAATGACTCGGTAATCTCGCTTTGATTTCATTGCCGAATAAAAATCGCCGTTAATGCCGACCGACCCAGGCTCACCTTGGCATCGAGTTACCGTGTTCGCCGATGATCCAGCACATCAACTTTACAAGCTAATTGACAATATCGTTTATAATTAACGGCCGAGCGAACTTGTCGGTCACGGCACGAGACCGGCTTACGAGGTATGCTGGGCGTGGGGCGAGCCCTTGGCCTTGGACTTGCGCCCGAGGAGCTTGCGGAAGGAGGAAGTCCACCTGGAGCGCGTGAAGGTGCCCAGACGCTGGGCGCTAGCCGCGTCCCCGGGTTCGCTGCTCGAGGACTCGCTTATCTTGCGACTGCTGTTGCCGCACTCGTACGAGCGCGAGCGTCGATCGCCAGTTTCCGATGAAAATCTGCAAGCAAAGCGTTTTATCAGTCAGCGCCAATGTTTTTTCAGAGTACCATTTTATGGCATTCACCATTATGGCATTCAAACACTTTTTCCAATAAAATTGGCGCTACCTGCCAATGCTTTTCATTTTTTATTTACATCCCTTTATTCTCTATTTATCCATATACCTAAGCATATACGAAAGATACGCGAGGCACTTTAACGTACTAAGTAGGCTTAAACGATTATTGTAAATAATCATGAAACTATCACATTATCAAAAGGCAAATCATCAAGGATTATGGAAGGTCTTATTCCAATTAAATATCAACAGTTTTATTTTCAACGATACCCCGCGATCAAAAATTATTACAAGATTGTACAATTAGTTCTCGATTAGTTTTCAAGACGGTCAATTAGTCATACCGGGACATTAATCAAGAAACTCGCTGATTTTATGCAAAATAATGAAGGTGACGAGTGACTTGCGAATGAAAAAGCTTACGATGAACAACAAACCCATGTCCTTCAGCTGAAATTTAATAAAACGAATAATTTTATCAATTAGTCTCTTCAATTTATCAATTGAATCGTTCTAAAACTGCCTACGATACTATGATCAACATGGTGACCCATCGTGATGGGCCAGTCAACTTTCTCGAGCGTATAATGGTTTTCTCTTTTCATTTCTATCCATCCTTCGTCGAATAATAAATTTGGAGCTGCGTTATCCGCGACTGCTCATGAGCCTACTGGACTCACCCGGAATCCGAGGAGAAGGCTCTGGCGGTGGCCGGTGCGCTGGATACTGTCGAGGACAGCGAAACCTCGGCCGCGGGCGTGTTGGAATAGGCCTCGTCCTCGGAGCTCGTGCCCGAGTCGTCGATGTAGCTGATCGTGCCGCCCTCGAGGGGCGAGCTCGTGCGTAGTGGAGGTAGTGCCGCGGGCGTTCCCGGTCTCAGCCAGGTGCGAAGATCCTGCAGCGGCGCTTGAAGGCACTTGAACAGTTTCCCGCTAAGGAGGCCAAAATTTAACTTTAGCGTTTCTTATTAAACTATCGTTTACTTGCTCATTGCGCGCTATTACCGTGCATTTTTGTGCAGCGAGAGGGAGAGAGGGAGGGAGAAAGAAGCAGATGTTTATGTATTATTACGATTCGACGCACACGATTATTAATGCTACGATTACCCGCGAATGATGCGAATGAAATGACCTTTATATATCTCCTTTGGTTTTCCGTTCTAGTTGTGGATAATTGGTTATTTTTTACGTGGTGAGACATTGAGAATTTAAGCACTCGACGTCCATTATTGGAATCTGAATCAACCTTTCAATCTGAGAAATTTCAAGTAAAGTAAGCTATTTGATGTTTTTTTTAAGTCGCGGCGAATGTGAATTTCTTTGATAACCAGAAACTTCTTATTTTAAGGTAAATTTGCACATAATAATCGTAGTAATAAATTCACGCATACGTTACACGCAATAATCCCCCCCCTTCCCCTCCCCCCGTTTGACATACGGGAGAAGCAAAAGCGATATAATCACATATGTATACCTCATTGATCATACTTAAACAAATTTTCATTTTCTAAACATGTAAAATGTTCACGAATTTTCAAACATCTCCTTAAAGCCGTAACTCAAATATTATAGAATTTTTCTGTTTATAACAGACTCTTGGTTGTTTCAGAAAAAATCAACTTCCTGTTCTCGAAACGGCCGAGTCTTGGCCTCTTTGCACATGGCTATAAGACTTATTACATATCGAATATTTAATAAGGAGCGGAGGAAATTTGTGAATCTGGATTTAGATGATATCAGACTGTGCACTGCAAATGCAATATTCATCCGGCATTCATTAAAGACCATAACAGTAATCGCATCTTGCATCTTATGAATGATTTTTTCATTAATTCGAATTATCGTGCAAGTTTTTCTCCATTCATCTCGTCTCTTTTCTCTTATCATTATTGTATTTATTTATTCAAGTATTGAATTTAGATGAGCAAGCTCCATTCATGAACAAAACAATGCCTTTCGATGTAAAATTATATGATTATTTAATTAGGCTATTATGTATAATCGGTCCACGTAGCCACACGCACGCGCGCACACGCACGCACAATCACAAAATCACACCTTTTAAACTCTTAATCAAATTAATCTACAAATCTCAAGCTGATTATCTTGCGAATAAAGAGTGAAAATGAAATACCAAAGTTTGCAGCTCTTTCCTCCTAATTCCTTATATTTAAATTACTTAATATAACATTACTCGTTAAGCAATGAAGGATCCATCGACATCCAATATTAAATATGCCCTTACATATTTACTTCTTTCTTAATCGTTACAACTACTTTCCAGAAATCGCATGCATTAATTCAATTAAATCGGTCTACAAATGCGGCATGGAATTCTTGACCGATGTGCTAGATCCTTAATTGTAGCGTTAAAGCGAGGCCGCACCACAGAAGCCACGATCTACGGAGCATTTCACGGCCAAAAAAGCAGGAGGAATTAGTTGCGCGCACGCGAGGCAAAAATGAGACTAAGACTGGGCCTGGTGCTGCCTAGTTACTCACTCGTCGCGGTAATCGTCGACGTCCTGGAAGGTGCGCCTCGCGTATAAGCAGACGGAGCAGCGCCGACGGCGACGGCAGGAGGTCGCGTGGAGTGCTGCCGCCCGTAGATGTCGTGCCGCGTGCCTCAGGGTCGTCGCCTCGTGGGTGAGCGCAGCGACGCCTTCCTCGTTGCGTCGACGCTCCTCGCCGAGTTCGTCCTGCTCGACGCGCAGCTTCTCCTTCAGCGCCTCGTTCTGACAATCAAGAGACTCGCAAATTAGTAATTTATTTCGTTTTTTGTTTATTGGATAATCGACAGTGCGCAATAAGGATTATTGTGCTTTTAAATAGCCGTCCTTCTCCCTTTATACATTATGCATACGAATGCATGTTCAAATAGTACTATAGTGTTGGTGTGTTGTTTGGTAACTAACGTTATTAAGATATTTTCTAGCTGTTTGCTATTATTATTTTATCGAAAAAAAAAAGAATTTTTAACTAGATAGTAAATGTCTAAATATTTATATTGTCACATCGTATAATAATATAATACATATGGAATAGTGAATCCTTTATATTATTGCATGATTTTAGTAGGATAAAATTATCAAATTGTGCATATATATATATAATAATAATTTAAAAATACAATAAAATTATTTGAAAGAAATCGTATGTTCTTCTTGCAAAAATTATTTGCTTACACATATAATGACAAGTTTTATAAATATGTATAATAATATATAAATGTAAATAATTTGTTAATTTACCGTGCAGTTCAATTTAAATAGAATTAATATGTCTGTAAAATAATGATACTATTCGATCAATATCATTATCGTCTATATTATTTATAATCTTGTCTAAATAATATTCTTATAAAATATAAAGTCTGTTCATTTCATGAAAATCATATACAAAATTTATATATTATTTTTAAAAAATCGTATCATGAAAGAAATTAAAATAATTTAAACGAAACTTTACTTCTTAAATATACATTTGTTCTTCAATAAATATATAAACATTCCACTCTATAAATTTTCAACGCGCAATTAATGTTTCAATAACGATCACTAATTTTTTAATCAGCCCCCCGCCCCCGCCGTCCATCTCACTCAAATTCGCTCACAAATAAAAAGATCGACGACGGTAGCTTTAGCTTTTTTTTCTTCTTTTTTTTTTCTTTTTTTTTTGTACTCACTAATAAAAACAGTAGCGACAAAGAAAAAATATTCAGAGCTCCAGAAGAATACGAGCAATGATCAGCAATAGTGTAGAATGATTTTCAATGCTTCGAATGGGTCTACCGAACGCTTGAGCGCGTCGGCGACCGGATGGTGACCGCAAACAAGACCAGGTAATTCCGCGATCGCGTGTTACGATTGGAAACGAAGACTCGCGAGAAGAAAGGAAAGATGAAGATGTAAAAAAGAGAGAGATAGGCTGGAGTTTCAGCGGTGCCGCTACGTTTTAGCCAGGCTTCAGGATGCTGTTAAATCCATCGGTTCAATTACCACGACTCCGTACCACTTTGGCGTGTTCTACTTCTTTTTTCTTTTCACCATTGACAAAACAGATCGAAAGTGTATTTGAATGTTTGTCACGAGCAAAGAGAAGTTTTACATTTATCATTGCATTGTCGTGTCAATGCGCGCGTCCTACATATCGTCGTTCAATTTTGAGTAATGAAATAAATTTTGAAAGGGATACCCACCGTCCCGTGAATAAAATCAAATCCGTGATAATTACGTGTCATGTAGAAGAGAACCGAATGACTACAAGAAATGACCGGGTCACAGTGCGTTGGTGTGCGCGTCACAAAAAAATCGTCCTGATGTATTACTATACTCTGTCTTTTCACCGTTGCGTCAGGTGATAAGCCTGTTCCTTTCACTAAATCATTTGCCCCACTTGATATTATTGTTCAATAATGCTCTAGAGTTCGGATGCTGTTAGATTTGTGAATTGAAACGAATGTTAGTGAGCGTTTGAAGTAAAAAAAAAAAGAAAGAAAAAAATAATAATATAACTATGTTCATACATCTTTCTTAAATTATTAATATAAGATTTTATAAAGATTTTATAGCAATATTTTAATATAAATTTTAAATGTATTTTCTCATTATTTATTGTTATTATTATTATTATTATTATTATTATTATTTCATTCTTTTGAATTATGGATAGTGTTGATGTGTGTAAAAGTTAACCTTAATGTGTAATTTAAATTAATGAAGAAAAATAGTTGTGAGGAGAATTGGCCTGTTCCCTTTATGGTTTTACATATACATGTTTGCTATCTTTAGATTTAATTACTTGACTTAAAAACAGAATATTACAATTTGCGATTATGAACTTGCTTGTGATTATTAAATGCTAAAATAATTAAATAAAGTCAGTGCATTGTTTTATACTTAATATCTATGCGTTCATCATAGATACGAGAATACTTTAGAAATAATTAAGTATTATATTTTGTCTATAATTTACAATAATAACGTATTTATTTTTCATACACAATAAGTATTGTGTCTTGAAGAATAGAATATATTGGGCATTAATTTGCAAGCACATGCAAATGCATGAATCATCTGTAAATGCTAAAATTAGTTAAAAATTATATATTGAATGTGAAAGCATCCATTCGCTTGTATAACAGAGTGTGCAAAGTACAGTAAAACTTTTATTTTCATTAAATGGATAATTTTGTGTTTATTTTCACATTTAGATCAATTTAAAAACGTATTACTAATATAATTTATTTTGAATGACAATAGTAGTATAAATTATCGTTAATTATATAATGAAAATTCGTTTATGGAAATTATGGATATTATTAAAAGTACCGTAAGCAAAGCGTGTAATTCTTTATTTAGTTAATATATATATATATATATATATATATATATATATATATATAAAGATAATTAAATAAATAAATAAATAAATTCATATTATTAGTAAATGAATTTGGGCCAACCTTAAAATTATTTTAAAGTAAATTAAACATTACCGATTTCCGTATACAATCAACTATAACTAAAATTGCAACTAATATTAATGCAGAAAGAACTACGAAAAAGAAAAAAATGTGACAATTTGATATGCACAAGTTTGTACAAGTTTTCTACAATTACGTAATTACGTAACAATTCCCTTATTCACTGAAATGTGAAAAAATTTGATTGCCCAAAATTCACATTTTCAACATTTGATTGTGCTTTTATCGTTAATCGAATAGTATAATATTTTATTTGTTAGTCATTTTCTTAGCAATGAATTTAATGTTATCTCGACTTAAAATATTAATTGAAGCTTATCTCCATTTATTGTTACTAGTCAAGTGCGAACGAAATATTATTTAAACACATGAAAGTATCGAAGCATCGCAAAATGTTCCGTATTTATCTACCATTGATGCCTATTACCATTGATTTCTCGCACAATATCCGTTGTTGTTTCTTCCTTGTAAATGAAGGCATCGAATGAATATTGCCAGCAAAAATCTCTACCGCTGTCTTTCGTAATGCACTTGCTATGAAAAAGACTTTCAATCGCTCGTATTGTAATTGCCGACAATTTATCCTTCTTATCGGCCGTGGCTTAACCCAAAACCTTCTCCTCCCAATGTACTTACGACTCTTCTGATCGATGATTTCCTGGTTTTTTTACGTCCAAGATCTCGTTCAATTTATCATAGCCAATCAGCTTAGTGCCAGCATTAGAGAGTGAAAAACGTGGCCGCTTAAAATCGAAACCATTGGATGTGATGTAAGGTGCGGTCAAGGGAAACGGCCCTCCGTCTCTCTCACCCACCCACTTACTCAATATCACACACCCTCGTCATTTCGGCATATCAGAATAGGGAATCTCCAATTGGAGTGGAAAGGACAAGCGGGCCTAGTTGCTCTCACCTCGCGCTCGAGGGCATCGCGCTCAGCCCTAATCGCAGTTGCCTGCCTCACGACTTCCTGGCGCGCCCGCTCCAAGGATCGACGGGTGATCTCGTTCTGGGCCGATTGGATCTGCAGCTGCCGTAGGGCCGAGGTTTGCTCCCGTTCGAGTCGCTCACGGGCCTCGAGGCAGACCTCCCGCTCCTGACGTGCCCTCTCGACCTCGTCCTCGAGCCGCAGACTGCGCTCTAGTTGCAGGAAGAGCTCCTCCTCTTTGTCCTTGAGCTCGGCCTCGCAACCCTCGAGCCGCCTTTCCAGCTGCCGTCGCGTTTCCTCCAGTTTGTCACGTTCTGCCTGTTCCAACAGAATGACCAAACGAATCTCTTATTTATTATTATTTATAACTTCTCGTTATTTTACGTTGTTTCGATATTGTATGTATTTATTTTAAAGGGATGCAGTAAGTTGGGTAGCAGAGGCGATGTAGGGGCTTAGCACTGTGGAATGTAGTTGTGTTGGCAGAATTTGGTACCAGAATACTTTTTTATCGGTACGCTCGCGGATTTATGCAACGATTGCTTGTCGACTGCTTTCTATGGATGATTGGCTGCATATTGCCAAGCCTTTGATTTATACAAGTCAAGCATGGCAAGAGTAATGCCCCCATCCGCTGATCCACAGATAATTTCGTAAAGGCATTCGCGAATTTCTTGAAAATTTATAAGCACAGCGGCATTGGATCTTTAATTACAGGATTTATTACAAGTGCATGAAAATACTATAGTTCCTTTTCATTTTAAGTTACTGGCTCTTTTATCACATAAATTAATAATAAATTATCAACATTTATAGGAGTGTATTTTATCTTTTTTTTTACTACGTAAATCTATATATATATATATGTTTGAATATTATTATTTACAACTTGTTTCCTTCCATTACCCTGATGTACAAAATAGTGCGCTATGTGCTTCGTGTTAAAAAATAAAATTAGTCGTAAATGCATATTCTTAAGGAAAAAATTTTAACATCTTTCAGCCATTTGGCAGAAAATAGTCCAGTTTATATAACTGATATATCCATACATATATATATATATATATATTTATAATTGTTTGAAGATAAATTGAAATGTTGAAATAAGCAGATAATCAAATTGTATTACTAACCAATAGCGGCTTCAGAAGGTAATGAAACTTAAAATTCAACGACAATAAATAATTATTAACGTTATTTACTAGTACTTCGTATTTTTAGAAAGTAATTATTAAAAAATTTTAATTATAAAAATAAATACGTAAGAATTTTATTTCAAGTATCATTTAATTAAAGCAGTCGAATAATTTAAATCAAAGTTTCCCAATGTTTGAAGAATTCAAATAGTACGTCATTTTAGTTTAATTCACAAATATATACGAATGCAGTGGCTATGTATTGAAATATTATACGAAATATATTCAACGAATTAATAATTAATATACGCATTTAAAAAAAAAATTTATATTTTACTTTTAATCAAGCTCTCAACATTTTTAACTTTTTAAAATGTATTTATTTAACTTTATTTAATGTATATTAAGTACATATAATGTTACCAAACTAATGCACACGCATATGCATAGATAATGGTTAATATAATCATTTATCAAGAAATTATGTGACAAAAAATTTTTGTAAACACTTATTCTAAATACATAATGGATCAAATGAAATAAAAATTTACGTAATTATCGTTTTACGAGTTGTAGTTTTAAAAACATTTATTAACATCTACACAACATTCCTAATACAGAATCAAACTTTTTTATTGATATATGGATATTATGAATATGCGTTAAATAATATTCATTAACATGTAAATATTATCAAAATTCTTATCTACAAACGACATTACATCGAAAATCTTTAAATATTTAATGTTGTTTTAATAAAATTGATAATCTGAATGTCTTTTACCATAAAATTTAATAAAAATTGAAAATAATTATATCAGTTTATCGTACTAAATGCAAGGTAAGTACCTTCTATCTTCAATAGCTTTTATATTATAGCTTTTATATAAAATATATAAGTAAAAAGGGCGTAGAAGTCTAAAAAAAAGTCTAAAAAATCACTAAAGGCATTGAATTAAAAGCTTTAAAATACAAAAATCAAAGTTTTCATTTTAAATTTCTATTAAAAATGTTCGAATCCAATGATTATTGAAAATCGATCGAACTTTATTATATAGATGAACGCCGAAATATTTAATCGAATGAATATTATTATTCGTCAGTGTGGCAGTTTAGTTTTTACTTTTTATTTCACAAGGGATTATTTTACTTGTGCAAATAAAATAAATCACATTGAACAAAACGGATCGACTAATAAGAATTGCGACGATAAAGTACATCAAGTACATACGGCTTTCTAGCGGAAAATAAATCTTACATTTTACTTGAATTTCACATTGTTTGACTAATAATATATTAAAAGAATTATTTCACCATCATTAAGGTTCCACTGCACATAATTTTAGAAATTCTATTACATTTGCGTATGTAATTTAACGTTTTTCTACAATTCTGCTGCTCTAACGGAATCCATACAATTACTCATCAGATTAACATATACATTCTAGAAATTCTATGGATTCTTAGAGAAGCCTATGGTGAATATTTGCAGTTGTTGGTAATATTTTATTTTCAAAAAAGAATAAGATATGCATAAGATGATTGACGACAGTATACCACTTTGCATTACTGGAGCACTAAATTATCAAATATAAATCAAATGAGGAAAATCTTTCGTTTTTATTAATGTCACTTCTTATGGGCATTATTAATAAATGAAATTATAAATTATTATTAATTTAATTTTAACAGAAAATGCGCGAATAGAACAAACTTGCAGAAACCGAAATTTAATCTAAATCTATTTTTCGAATACGGTTTTCGCCCTATCATAACGTATTACAAAATTTTTCTTATTATTATTATTAGTTCGTATGTTAAACGTGAAAGTTTATAAAGTCCAATGCTATTCGTCATTATATGTAGATACGAAGTAAATAATGCTTTTAAAATATGTAAAAGTAACTTTATTACCTTTGAAGTGAAAATACAAAATAAAAAAACTTAATTAAAAGATATAGAAAAAATGAAAATGAAGAAAATCACATGATTTGAAGAGGTAAGAATTTTAATATTGATTTACTGTTTAGTAAAGCAATTAAAGCTATGTGGATTAAGATGGGTTGGGCACATAACGAGGGTGGGGAAGGAATGGGCAGCGCCTAATGTTGAAGTAATAAAAAATATAATGTATAGATTTAGGTAAGTTAAAACGAAAACTGAGCTTATAAAATAGTTTGACTAAGTTAGTTAGTTTGAACATCGATATGAAATCATTCTACATTATAATAAATCGGTTAAATAATAGTTTGAGCGTAAAATGAATAAGGAAAAAAAATTTTTATCCATGTCATCATGATGAGATTTTAGGCCATCGATGCCCGATAATATCAATAACAGTAAAATTTTACGAATATAAACAATAATAAGTATTTTTATATTAATTCATATCAAATGTTGATATGATTCACATTATTACTGTTATAGCTACATTATACATTTGAATTGGAAAAATATTAATATTAATATTAGTTATATAAATAAATAAAAAAAATCCTCTTTGACTACGATTAAAAAAGAATTTAATGTATTTCAATTTCAATTGATTTGCATTCATCTTAAATTATATCTATAAATTCTTGAATAAGAGCCGATAAACAGTAGTTGATGAATTTAGCGTGATATGTGATGACATTTAATAAAACAATATGATTATTTTATATCGTTATTATCGTTTATTTTAAATATTTTATATTAAGATATTTGGATTGTTTGTTAAGGATTGAAATTAATTGTCAGTAAATAAAAATTATGGCATTAGTTTTCATGGCAGTACCATAAACAATAATATAGTACGCGAGGTCTTTTAACATCATCGAAATTCGGAACTTTCGACGGTAAAGAGTCAACTTGACCTAGTCTCCTTTTTGTCTTCTTACCCATACGCACGCATATTATTACTTACGCATTAAAATTTTCTTGGCACGCCATTTCCGTACCTCGAGTCCGCAGTAACACTTTCTTTACACCCACATTTCCAGCAATTAAGATTAAAAGCGAGCAACACGCATATCGAGGAGACGAGGAAGTAATAAAGTAAAAGGATCGGGGAAGTAGCTGGCATAACGAAACCAGGTTGTTAAATGATTCGCCGACCCTACATACGAGAACTTTGAGAACTTTGCGAGTTGTCTCGTTAGCCGTGCGCGTGTGTAAGTGGTCGTCACGCCTTTGAAATTTATCGCGAATGAACGAGGTGGCGAGATGAGCGCCGAAGGAAACTGAGATACTCAATGAGATGCATAATCGGTGTAGTAGGTGTTATCTCCTCAGTCTCGTCATCAATGCGACAGTTTGCGTTTGTACATGAATACGAAACGCATAAGATTGGTTGGATTAAAGTCGCTCGACACACCCGTGTGAATGCCCTCGAAATTCATGCTCTCCCACTCCACACTCCCCATCGCCTCCGCATTCATGCGTATATATTAGTCAAGAATAAAGCGAGTAGACTCACCAATGAGAAGGGGGGGGGGGTATCGGTTGTTTTTTTGTCCGTTAGTTCATGCACCGGTACTAACGATTTGCGTGCAATAACGATTTGGAGTCGTGCGGTACTTTCCTTCACGGCTTGCTTCCTATTATAATCCGATTTCTAATAGGAGTCAGATGAACGAAAGTGAAAGATTTCGATGTTACTGCATTTGTATTTAAGATAACGAAAGTTTCATCGACTCTTCCGTAAACTATTCGTTACGACGAGTACGTAATAATTCAATGAGCTTGTAAACATTTGGATAAGTTCGATAGGGGAACATGAGCTTAACGTGACACGAAATTCACAAATATATTGTGAAATATTAGTTTCCATTATGATTGCTTCAATTGTTACAACCACACTGAACAGCGACATTTCATTGCTATGATAGACAAAAAATTGTATGATTAAATTATATAAATTGAAAAATATAGGTATATTTTCGATATATTGTCTGAATAAAAGAGTATATACTAAAGTCGAGCGAGAAAATTTATTTTTCTTATTTCTCATTGAACCGAGCTTATCTTAGTAGGTAATCATTTTTAGCTCGTAATCCATTACCATTTTCATTTTTAATAATAATTAATTACTTGTAGATTTATAAAAACTCATAACAGTTTTCAATCCATTCAATGCTAATCAATGCGTATTAATTTAAGTGCATACGTCGAGCATATAATGGGATTGGAAAATAGAGAGTA